CCAGGGTTCCAGTGCAGGGAAATAAAGCCTCAAACCTCTGATTGAAAACATCTGTGGGGGTTGAGGCGGCAGTGGGAGAGACTCATTGGTTCACAGGAGAGTTCATTGGAGAGACCCACAGGGACTACAATGTACACAAATCCACCCACCTGGGAATTAGCACCAGAAGGGCCCAATTTGATTGTGGGGAGCGGGGGAAGTAACTGAAAACTGGCAGAGAGTGGAGGAAGGGCCATTGTTCCCTCTCAGACCCCCTTCCCCACATACAGTGTCACAGTGCAGTGACGTGGTTTGCCCAGCCCTGGTGAACACCTAAGGCTCCACCCCTTACTATGTAACAGGCCAGCCAAGACAAAAAAAAAATGGCCTAAATGAAAGAACAGATCAAAGCTCCAGAAAAAAATACAAGTAAGCAATGAAGAGACAGCCAACCTATCAGATGCACAGTTCAAAATACTGGTAATCAGGATGCTCACAGAATTGGTTGAGTATGGTTGCAAAATAGAGGAAAAAATGAAGGCTATGCTAAGTGAAATAAAGGAAAATGTACAGGAAACCAACAGTGATGGAAGGGAAACAAGGACTCAAACTAATGGTGTGGACCAGAAGGAAGAAATAAACATTCGACCAGAACAGAATGAAGAAACAGGAATTAAAAAAAATGAGAGAGGCTTAGGCACCTCCAGGACCTCTTTAAATGTTCCAACATCAGAATCATAGGGGTGCCAGAAGGAGAACAATAGCAAGAAATTGAAAACTTATTTGAACAAATAATGAAGACCTTCCCCAATGTGGCAAAGGAAATAGACTTCCAGGAAGTCCAGGAAGCTCAGAGAGTCCCAAAGAAGTTGGAACCAAGGAAGCACACACCAAGGCACATCATAATTATATTACCTAAAATTAAAGATAAGGAGAGAATCTTGAAAGCAGCAAGATGAAAGGAGACAGTTACCTATAAAGGAGTGCCCATAAGACTGTCAGCTGATTTCTCCAAAGCAACCTTGCAGGCAAGAAGGGGCTGGAAGGAAGTGTCCTGAGTCATGAAAGGCAAGGACCTACCTACATCTAAGATTACTCTATCCTGAAAAGCTATCATTTAGAATAGAAGGGCAGATAAAGTGTTTCCCAGATAAGATCAAGTTCAAGGAGTTCATCATCACCAAGCCCTTATTATATGAAATGTTAAAGGGACTTATCTAAGAAAAAGAAGATAAAAAACACATACAGTAAATGACAGCAAACTCACAGTTCTTAACAACCAAACCTAAAAGCAAAAACAAAAACAAAAACAAGCTAAGCAAACAATTAGAACAGGAACAGAATCACAGAAATGGAGATCACATGGAGGGTTATCAGTGGGGGGAGTGAGAGGGGAAGAGAGGGGAAAAAGGTACAGAGAATAAGTAGCATAAATGGTAGGTAGAAAATAGACAGGGGAGGTTAAGAATAGTATGGGAAATGGAGAAGCCAAAGAACTTATATGTATAACCCATAGACTAAAAGGGGATAATGTGGGTGGAACATGGTGTGCAGGGCAGAGGGGAATAAAGGGAGGGATGGGACAATTTTAATAGCATAATCAATAAAATATATGTTTAAAAAAAATAACCAAAGGGGCAACTGTATTTCACTAAACCAATGATTGAAAAAGTGAATCACGTGTTGAGCATCTTAAAAGTATACAATTTAATGAATGCAATAATAGCAGTATTCTTTCTTTAAAAAAAAGTAACAGGGCCATCAATTTAAATCAATCATAAACTTTGCAGAGTTTATTTTAATCCACAATTAATAAGGAAATGTTTTTTGAGCACTTCTACACATGAACTTCTCAATGTCTAGATTTGGCATTTAGGGATATAAAAGACAGTTCTTGCTCTCAGGTGTGGAGGTATAAAAGGTGAGTATAACAGTTGGCAGCACATGATGAAAGAAGACATGTTGAGAGTATGAAGAATTCTCTGGGGTCTAGAGTGGTTTGTTTTTTCATTTAACCATATGAACTGTTCTAGGTGCTGGAACATGCTGAATGGACATAGATCTCTGCTTTCATTCAGCTTGCATTCTAGTAGGGGAAGACACATAAACAAACAAATAAATATGCACTGTAATGTCAGGTACTATGATAAATAATAAAGATGGGTGATGGGATAGAGAAAGAGTAGGGTGACGAGGGGATACTCTTTCAGATGGGTTTGTCAGAAAAGATCTCTCTGAGAAGAAGATATTTTAATGGAGAACTGAATTGTATAAAGTAGTGAGCTGTGCAGAGATGTGGGAGAAGGGTTTCAGGCAGAGGAAATGGCATGCATTACAGATATAGGCAGGAACTGGATTGGCAGATTCCAAGAAGAGCAGTGGTCCAGCAGTGACTGGACAGGAGTGTGCCAGGGGAGAGAGGTGGGAGATGAATACCATGAGGAAGGTGGAAGTTAGTGGTATGTAGGGCCAGGACTGTGATAGAAAGCTGACAGAGGTTCTAGCTAAGGCTGCAATATGATCAGATTCAGGCTTTAAGATGATCACTGGCTTTGTGAGGAATGTATTATATAATGATAAGAGAAGGAGCCAAAGCCTATTTGGAGGTATATTAATTAAGTTAGGCTAAACTGCTATAAGAAATAACCAAATATGTAGTGGCTCAGATACAATGGAAATTGATTTCTCACTTGTACTAACAGTCTGGGAAGGGTGTTTCAAGTAAGTGGGAGGCTCTCCTCCATGCACTGATTCAGGGACCCAGGATCCTTCCATCCCCTGTCTAGGGGGATTACCATGTGCAGATTTCAGGCATGGAGAAGAGGCACACCTCTCCCAAAGATCTTGTGCAAAAATGGCACTCATCACTTCTGTTGACATTTTATTGGTGAGCATTTGGTCACATGGCCACACTTACTGCCACAGTCCCTACCACAGGAGCTCACTGCAGTAAATCAGAGAAAAGTGGTTTGGGCTAGGGTGAGAGCAGTGCCTGTGGCAAGGAGTGGTCATATTCTGAATATATTTTGATGGTAGAATCAACAGTAAGTACTAATGGAATAGATGTAGGTGTGAGGAAAAGAGGAGTCAAGAATGAGTCTTAGATATTTGAGTGAATGCTGTTGTCATTTATTTAGACAAAGAAGACTTGGGAAGAATAAATTTCTGCTTCAGCCATGTTAAGGTTTGAGGTGCTTGTTAGATGTGTAAGGGGAGATATTGGGAAAAAAACTAGATATTCAAATTTTCAATTCATGTGTCAAGGATGACGTAAAACTGGATCGTTTTTATTCGAATAGTATTTAAAGCCATGGGACAAGATGAGATCTCCTGGTAATGAGTATATATGGGGGGGGGGGGGAGAATGCTGGGGACTGAACGAATGTTGGATCATACAATATTTGGGGATTGGAAGTAGGAGGTGAATCAGCAACAGAGACTGAGAAGAAATGGCAGTGGAATAGGAGGAAAACTGGGAGAGTGAGGCATCCTAGAAACCAAGAGAAGAAAGTGTTTCAATTAGCAGGAGGTGATCACGTGTTTTAGATGCTGTTGGAAAGGTGGAGTAGGATGAGGACTTAGAGTTGACCATTATATTTGAAAAGATCAAGTCATTGGCAACTTTAGGAAGAAGAGTTTTGTGGAATGTTACAATCTTATGAGTGGGTTGAGGAAATAATGGGATGTAAAGAATATATAGGCTACTCATGGCCATCATAAACAAATCAACAAACAACAAGTGTTGGAGAGGATGTGGAAACAAGGGAACCCTAGTGCACTGTTGGTGGGAATGCAGACTGATGCAGCCACTGTGGAAAACAGTATGGAATTTCCTCAGAAAACTAAATATGTAACTGCCTTTTGACCTGGCAATTCCACTGCTGGGATTATACTTGAAGAACACTGAAACACCAGTCCAAAAAAACCTATGCACCCCAATGTTCATAGCAGTACAATTTACAATAGCCAAGTGCTGGAAGCAACCTAAGTGCCCATCAGTAAATGAATGGATCAGAAAACTGTGGTACATTTACACAATGGAATACTACGCAACAGAAAGGAAGAAGGAGCTCCTACCCTTTGCAACAGCATGGATGGATCTGGAGAGCATTATGCTAAATGAAAGAAGCCAGGCTGTGGAAGACAAATACCATATGATCTCACCTATAAGTGGAACCTAATCAGCAAAACAAACAAGCAAGCAAAATATAACCAGAGACATTGAAATTAAGAACAAACTGACAGTAACCAGAGGGGAGGTAGGAGAGGATATTGGGGGAGGAAGGGGGAGGGGTTTTCAGGGACATCTATAAAGGAAACATGGACAAAACCAAAGTGGGGTAGGATTAAGGGTGGGGAGTGGGGATGGCTGGGGTTGGGGGGAGTAGTAGGGGGAAATGGAGACAACTGTACTTGAACAACAATTTAAAAAGTTAAAATTAAAAAAAAAATAAAATAAATAATTCCCAAAGGATTAAAAAAAAGAAGCAGAAGAAGCAGATTGTATAGGCTATTCTTTTGAGGAGTTTTGCTGTATGGAAGACAAAGAAATAGGGGTTGATCAGAAGGTATTTTTTTAGGTGGGAGAAATTGCAATATAAAATATATGTATTTCATGGGAATGATTCAGTATAGGAGGGAAAAATCAATGATGCAAAAGCAAAATCCCTGAGCAGGGCACAAATGGAAGGATGGGCCTTACATAGGAGCCAGGACTGTTCACCCACTGTACAAAGAGGGAAGGCGGAAGAGAGGGTTCAGATGTAACTGGGTTGGTAGATTTGGTGATGAGAGAATATGAAAGTTCTCCTTTGAGAGGAGAAATTGTAAACTTGTTACATCAGAGAGTAGGAGAATGAGTTGACTAAAACCACAAGGGAGTTAACGGTTGAAGTAGGTGGAAGCTATCTTTTAGGCTGAGTTACAAAATTGGAGAAGAGCTCATAGGTATTTGCTAATAAAAATAGAAAAGGATTTGATAACAAATTGGTAACCAAGGATTTGACTCATTTATTTTTCAGATTTCTTCCTAAAGCATAGGCTCCAGGAACAAGACATCCAGAGCAGACCTACTTCTGTCTATGCTCGCATGTGCAATCCCTGGGTCTCCCTGCTGGGGGTGAGTAGCTTCATTTTGATCTCAGTTGTCTGTGAAACATAATTCAGGTGGAGATATGTGTGACCTCAGGGTTGGGGCTGTAGGGAGGAAGAGGAAGGTCTTAATTAATGAGGAGCAATGTGATTTAACTCTCTGTCACATTAGAATTTAGATGAGACTACATATGGCAAGATTACATTTAGTGCACCACTTATGTCAGTGGTTTACTTGTAAAATAATTGATCATCTCTGATAACCTCTGGGTTACTAAAGTTCTAGATATACCAAATTAGAATCATTTCACTTGATTTCTTCTAGGGAGAAGTGGGACAAAGAGCTATGATAGAATATCTATCTACTTATTGATAGTTTTGATTAGAGGGTACTTCCAGAAGATATCTTCTCAAGTATCTGTATGGTTAAGTGAGGTTTCTTGAGTTATGAGTGAACTCTAACTAAGCAGACTTTTATAGTGATCAGTGGCTGATGTGAGGGACTATTGTTTCTTAAGGCACGAGCCTTGTAGTTTGCTTACCATGCGATAAACCATTAGGTGACTTGCCTTTCCTACTCTGTTTCCACAGGCTGTTGGGTCCCTTGTCATCATGTTTGTGATCCAGTGGGTCTACACCTTGGTTAACATGTGTGTTGCTGCGGTTGTGTATTTGTACATTGGCCGGACCAGTCCAGGGCTTCACCTAGGTGAGCAGCAGAGCCATTCCGCTCCCTCCTCCCTCCTTCTCTTTTAGCACCCACTGAAGAAATGTGTTTTCAGCACCTATTAAATGCCAACACTGGCTCAGATATGAATCCTATTTTCAAGTAGTTCATAGTCTAGGAGGAAAAATGTGATATACACATAAATGACAAGAAATTAAAAAATAACTTGTGAGATTTATAAAACATGTAGAAGTAAAGCAAATGACAACAATAGCACAGGGGCCAGGAAGGAAGAAATGGAAATACACTGTTTTAAGTTTCTGATACTCTATGGGAAGTACTATTGTATGATATCACTTAGTGGTAGACTGTGATAAGTTAAGAATGTGTACTACAAACTCTAAAGCAACTATTAAAAATAGCAAAGAGTTGCCCTGGCTGGTGTGGCTCAGCTGGTTGGGCATTGTCTCATAAATCGAAAGGTCGCAAGTTTGATTCCAAGTTGGGGCACATGCCTAGCTTGTGGGATTGATCTCAGGTCTGGGGTGTGTGTGAGAGGCCACCGATCCATGTTTCTCTCTTGCTTTGATGTTTCTCTCCCTCCCTTACTCTCCCTTCCTTCCTCCCTCTCTAAAATCAATAAGCATGTTCTCAGGTGAAGATTAAAAATAGAAAGTTATAGCTAGTGAACTAATAAAGGAGATAAAGTTAAATTTAAAAAATGCTCGAATCAAAATATAGCAGAGAAAGAGGAGCAGATAATAAAGGGCATATGGAGCAAACAAAAAGCAGATGACAAGGCAATTTATATGAACTTAGCCATATCAGTAATCACACTAAGAATAAATGGTCTAATACTCCCAATAGTGGTTGAAACACTGAGTATGTCAGACTGAATAAAAAAGAATGACACAATTATATTCTACCTGTATAAAACCTACTTTAAATATAAAGACACAATAAATTGAAAGTGAAAGGATGGGAAGAGACATGATCACATGAGTCAAAACAGAGCTGGAGTGACAGCATTAACAGCCGGCAAAGGAGGTTTTAGAGAAAAGAATATTACTAGGGATGAAGAGGATTATTTCATAAAGATAAAAAAATTACCAAGAAGATATAATAAACCTTAAATTTATATACTTAAAACCAGGCATAACTGTAACAAGAAATACAAAAGTCCATAATTGTAGACAGAGATTTCAACACCTCTCTCTCAATAATGATAAAACAAGTAGGCATAAAATCAGTAAGACTTTAGAAGACTTGAATAACATTATCAACAAACCTGGATAAACAAAGATTTATACAACATTCCACCTAACAGCAGCAGAATATATGTTCATTTTAAATTCATTTCAGGACATAAAAAGTCTCAATATGTCTATTCAAAGGTATTCGAGTCAATTCAAGAACAAAGTATGTTCTTTGACCAAAGAGTAAGTAAATTAGAAATAAATAACAGACAGATATCTGGAAAATCCCCAAATGTTTAGAAACAAAAGAACACTAAATAACACCAAATGACTAAGAACACTAAACAATGCTAAATTAACTAAAGAAACTAAATAATTCATGGCTCAAAGAAGAAATAAAAAGTAAAATTTCAAAGTATTTCAAACTGAATAAAAATGAAAATATAACATAAAAATTATAGGAGGCAGCTAACTAGGTATTTATAAGGTAGTTTATAGCATCAAATGTATATATTAGAAAAGAAGAAATGCCCCAAATAAATGACCCCAGCTTCAACGTAAGAAACTCGAGAAAGAAGAGCAAATTAAATGCAAATAAGAGAAACAGTGAAGCAATGAAGATCAAAATAGAAATCAGTAATATATAAAACAAGAAAAAAGTAGAAAATGGCAATGAAACAAGAAGCTGGTTATGTGAGATCAATAATATTGACAAACTTTTGGCCAGATTGATCAGAAGGGAAGGAGAGAAGGTAAAAATGACCAATGTCAAGAGTGAGGGAGATGACATTGCTAGAGAGTGTACAGATATTAAAAGAAAAATAAAGAAGTATTTTAAACAACTTTATGTCAGTAAATTTGATAACTTGGACAAATTCCTTGAAAGATACAAACTATTAAAGGTTACTCTAGGAGAAAGATAGGGCTATTTAAGTTCTATTAAGGAAATTACACTTGTGCCCTGGTTGGTGTAGCTCAGTAGATTGTGCACGGGCCTGTGAACCAAAGGGTTGCTGGTTCAATTCCCAGTCAGGGTACATGCCTGGGTTGCAGGCCAGCTCCCCAGGTGGGGACACATGAGAGGCAACCATACATTGATGTTTCTCTCCCTCTCTTCCTCCTTCCCTTCCCCTTTCTCTAAGTAAATAAATAAGATCTTTTTTAAAAATTACGCTTGTCATTAAAACCTTCCCACAAAAAAAAACTCTAGGCCCTGATGGCTTCACCAATGAAATCTACCAAACACTTAAGGGAGAAAGAATATAAATTCTATACAAACTCTTTGGAAATCTACACACTAATCTCTCTCATAAACATAGATACAAAAATTCATAACAAAGTTTTACCAAATTGAATAGAAAATATAAAAAGGATAATACATCAAAACCACGTAGGTTTATCTCAGGAATTCAAGGTTGGTTTAATATTCTGAATTATTCCACGTAAATCACCATATTTACAGACTAAAGGAGGAAAACTAAAACATTTCTAAAAGGAAATTAAAGAAATAAATGAAGAGATGTACTATGTTTATGAATTGGAAGATTCAATATTCTTAAGACATCATTTCTTCCCAAATTGTTCTATCGATTTGACACCATCCCAATCAAAATGCCTGTTGCCTGTTTTTATGGACATTGACAAGCAGACTCTAAAATATGTATGGAAATGCAGAGGATGTAGGATAGCCCCACCAACTTTGTAAAAGAAGAACAAAGTTGGAGGACTTACACTACCTGATTTCAAGACTGATTATAAAGCTAAGGTAATCAAGACAGCATAGTATTGAAATGAAGATAGACAAATAAATCAGTGGAAAGAGTAGGAAGGCCAGAAATTCATCCATATGTAAATGGTCAGTTGATTTTCAAAAAAGGTGCAAAAGCAATTCAGTGAAGAAAAAAAAAATCTCTTTAGAAAATAGTGCTATGACAATCAGATATCCATATGCAAAAAAAGTAAACTTTAATCTACATATCATACAATGTAAAAATAACTCAAAATAAATTCTAGAATTTAATATAAAACATAAAACTGTACAATTTTAAAAGAAAGTAAAGGAAAAAAATATCTTTGTGAATCTGAATGAAAGGCAAAGATTTAGATACAACACTAAAAGCAGGAAAAAAGTTGCTAAATTGGACTTCCTCAAATTAAGGACTCTGATCTGCCAGACACACAGGTAGGAGAATGCCAAGGCGAGCCATAGGCTGTGAGAACATGTTAGCAAATCATATATCTGAGAAAGGACTTATATCGAGAATATATAAAAACTCTCAAAACTGAATGATAAAAAGACAAACAAAAAGATTTAAAAATGGGCAAAAGTTTTAAATAGATTTCACCAAAGGGTATATATGGATGGCAAATAAGCAAATGAAAAGGTGTTCAACATGTTAGTCATTAGGAAATGCAAATTAAAAACACAATGTAATACTACTCCACACTAATTAGGAGGATGGGATTAAAATTTAAAATACTGATCATGCAAAGTGTTGGCAAGGATGTAGAACAACTAGAACTGCTATATACTGCTGGTGGAAATAAAATAATACAACACTTTGTAGGACAGTTTGGCAGTTTATTAAAAGTTAAACTTGTACCTGCTATATAAACTAGCCAATGTACTCCTAGGTATTTATATTCATAGCAGCTTAATTTATAATAGCCAAAACTGGAAACCATATGAATGTCCATCAACAGATGACTATAAATAAACTGTAGTATAGCTATAAAATGAAATACTCAGTAATAAAAAGAACATGCAATGACATGGATGAATCTCACATAACTATGCTGAGTGAAAGAAATCAGACAAAAAGAGTATATGGTATATTATTTTATGTATATAATATAAAGTTACTAAAAATGCAAACTAACCTATAATTAAAGCAGGTCAGCGGTTGCTTTTAGATGGGGTTGGGGATGGCTTGAGGAAACTTTCGGAGGTGGTAGATGTGTTCATGATCTTGCTTGTGGTGGTGTCTTCATAGTGCACTCCATGTGTCAATACTTACTAAACGGTACACTTGAAATGCATGTAGTTTGTTCTAGAAATGGACTCTGAAGTAATCAGGTATGTTAAGACACACAGACACAGAAATGATTGTCATGGAGGAATGAGTTTATACTCACAGATCCCTAGAAACGGAGGCACAGCATGCATGCCAAGTGGAGTCACATGAAGGAGGACCAGGGTTGGTCATGAGGGAGAGGAAGAGGGAAGAGCATGGCTCAGAGCTTTTATTAGGTTTTTATTGGGAAGGAATGGGTGAGCCAGGTAGGTAGCTGAGCAAGTTTAGGATTAGATAGTTTGAATAATTTCAGTTATCGGGCTGGTTTCTAGTTGTCCGGTATCTGGCCCTAGTGTGATTTAGGGCAGGGGTGCATTGACTCGGTGTGGGAGAATTTGACAAGGGAGATGGTTGGGGGTGTGGGCTCTGGTTTGGTTGGTTTGTATATTGAAGGTTTGCTCACAGTGGGGTTTGTTGCTGTCTCCAGGAATTAGCACCTCTAGGATCAACTGCCAGAGCGTCAGGAATATAGAAAGAAAGAAATTATAGTCAATACTCTGTTTACTGTATGTCAGTTATTTCTCAGTGATAAAGCTGTTAAAAATACATTGTTGGGAGAGGTGGTGGGATTGAGCAAAAAAGGATAAGAAAAAGAGAAAGAACTCACTGACACAGAAAAAAATAAAATAAATTCACGAGCAAACTGAAGAAAAAATTCTTCATAATTAGAATAATGTGGTGTATACTTTTGAAAGAAGTGCACTTTATACACTTAGTCACATATACATTAAGAACAATGCTTTGGAGGACTTCTGGTCAAGATGGCAGAGTAGAAGAGGGAATAGCAAATTCCAGAAAGAAGATGTGCCCAAAGGCCCTCAGGGGTGACCTATGATGAAAACCCAGGTCTCTCAGTTCTGGATCCTTCAAAAGCCCCCCTCCTCTGTGAAACCTCCCTGTGATGGTTAGCTTTTTGTGTCAACTTGGCTGGGCCATGAGGTGGCCAGATTAAAGATTATTTGTGGGTGTGTCTCTGTGGGTGTTTTCTTTTAATTTTTAAAAATTTATTGATTTTAGAGAGAGAGAGAAGGGTGAGAGGAAAGAGAGAGCGAGAAACATTGATTTGTTGTTCCATTTATTTATACATTCATTTATTTCTTTTCTTGTATGTATGTGCCCTGACCTGGATCAAACTATATATATAAAGTTATATATACATCTAATTTGTTATGTGAGATTTTTTAAAAACCCACACTGAAGGAGGGATGAGGTATTTTGTATTCAAGTTGATCAGCCCTATTCTAATCAGTGTGTCTGTGTCAACAACAATCTCGCTTCAAACTTCAGCTCTAACATTTCTACATGTTGAGCTATTTGATTCACTCACACCTGTGGAAAACTTTCTGCGTGCCAGTTCCTGTGGGTGTTGTTCTGTGAGTAAGACAAGATGAAAAAGGCATGCTTGCTATCCTCACAGGGCATATGGTCTAGCAGGGGATTATATAGGACATATTTAACACATAGCTTGAATCTAAGAAAAAAATATTATCAACATTTTTTAAATTCCTAGGACTGAAGTTAACAACTTGTCTACTTTTTCTCTGTTTCTTTCTTGGGATTTTGGAATTTAGAAATAAATTTTTGGAAACTACATATGGCTATGAAGTCCTTAGCAGGCTACTGTTAGGGAATATTTCAATGAATATAGCTTGGTTAGGCTTAAAAAGGAAAAAAATGTGTTAATTTTATGTGTGCGTCAGAGAATGTACATTCTATTAAAACTGGGGTTCTAGATGCATACCTAGAGCCTTCATCAATATTTATGTATATGTCTTCCCTGTAGGATCAGCCTCCAACTTCAGTTTTTTCAGATGGATGAGGTCTCTTCTGATCCCCTCCTGCAGGTCAGTGCTACTTGAGGGCCAGGACCAGAGCGGATGAGTGTCCCTTGGTCCTGGGAGGTGCTAAGCATGTGCCATTTCTTGCTTTGCTTGGGTGAATTGTAGTGTGGGAACCTGACAGTTGAGAACCTCGAGGAGATTCAGAGTTTGCTCCTCACTGCCCTCCACCACCCAGGCCTCAGGCTCAGCTCATCAGAAGTGTCCTCTGACTCATGTCCTCTTCCCTTCTTATGCTCAGGAATCATGAACAGAGGCTTTATTTAGAATCTGATTGCTGGATGATAAGTCAAGAAAGCTACTCCAAGTGAGTTCAGGCTAAGACACGCTAGCATCAATATGTCATCATACACAAGATTAGGGCCCAAAGGACTACTATTCTTCCATCTCAAGGCTGAGATGGTTGATACAACTGTGCTGGTGAAAGTGAAGATGCCAAGTACAGAAATAGGTAGATTAGAGATCCCAGAGGACTTCTGTGGGACCTCCATGTTCAAATACACAAGGAAACGGAAGCACAGACTTCCCTGAGAAACAGGAGAAGGCCTCATAGAGAAGGTGATTTCATGAGCACCCTAATCTCCTTCCTCCTTCTCCACCCTTCTGGAGACAGTGCTTCCCCACCTTTGGAGGCCTCGGGACCCTGGGAAATTACTTCCCTTCTCCCTCAATATCAGTGAAGAGCCAAAGCTGCAGGCTCGGAATATCCAGGCAGAACCCAACCAAGGGTTTATTTGGTTTCATTCTATGTTTTGTTTTTGAAACTCTAGATGTCTGGGTTGTACTTGCCAATATCTTCACCTTCCATGTCCAGACATTGCTAATGGATTATGAAACCCTTTCCCTTTGGTCCCAGAATCTTTTTTCCCCCATTTCTTATTGTGATACAACACATGTAACATAAAATGTATCATCTTACCATTTTTCAGTGTCCAGTTCAGTGGTATTAAGTACATGTATATTGTTGTGCAATCATCACCTCCGTGAATCTCCAGAACTCTTTGTCTTGCAAAAACAGAAGCACTTTATCTATTCAACAATAATGCCTTCTTCCTCCCTTCTAAGAATCCTTTTTAACACAAGTCATTATAAGCACTCTCAATTTGTTTCAGATTGCACAAGAAATGAAACCTTGGTGCTAGAGCCTGGGATGATGAAGAAATAGGAGCAGGGTCTATGGAAACCAACAGGGAAAATGCTGGGAGGGAGGGTGGTGTGCAGGTGGTGTGTCATCTGCTGGAAGCTGGGCTACATGCTCTGTGTGGGGCTATGGGAGGGTGGGGTCACCCCTCTGCTTCTCTTCCAGTCTGTGGCGCTAGGTCGGGTGACCCAGGTCACAACACTTGTACGCTGATCTCTTTTCCCGGTCACGTAGTCCCGAGGAAAAGTAGAGTGTAAATGGAAATAGCTTCTGTGTAGAGGATGCCTACAGATCTGGACATGGAGGTGATGACTGGTTAAGAGTGTTTGGCCCTATCTGATTTTCAGGAATATTTTTAGGCATTTGCAGTTTTAAAGCCTGCACATGGCCATTTGAGGCCACCACTCTTTATGCTGCCCTCTGAATTCCTAGAATTTCACCTCTGAGGTCACAGTAGTGCTGTCTAGAAAGAAAGAAGAATGTATTAGGAGGAGATTATTCTTAGAAAAGGACAATCCTTTGGTTAGGACAGAACCCAGCCCACACTATTCATAGCTCCGTGGGCCTATGCAGTGGGCGATGGAGGATTCAGCCAAGCCTCAACATCAAACTTGCTGGTGTCACCATGGCTACTGGATGTTTTGTGATAATTATTTAGGAGGGTAAAAGGACCAAATAATGGTGATTTATCTAAAATAGAAATTGCTAGTTGTGTGTTTTTATTTTGTAGTTTTGGGAGAATTTTTTTTAAATAACTATAGACCCAGATGCTCTTCAAACCAAAGAAAAATAATATAGCAGAGGTGTTTGGACAAAGGAGTTTGGCTACTTCCTTTCTTATGCCTGCAATTCCCAGAATTATATAATATTTAGCCTGACCTTGAGAAGGTGTTTTTTCACTGAAGTCCTCGCAACTGCCCAGATGAGAATTCTTAGACCATTTTAGATTAGAAAAGTGAAGTATATTATTTACCAGAACTCAGAAGAATGCTATTGTTTCACTTAAAAAAAAAGAGAAAACATTAATGAAAAAAATGCACTAGCAAAAACACCTACATGTTTATTGGTATGGCATTTTTACCACTTTCAACCTTACTTGTAGAAGATTCAGTCTTTGTAGAAGCCAATTCATTTCTCAGAAAACCTCAGCCTCCCTCATTCAGATCCGTTCCCATCAGTAGCTGCAAGGCCTTAGTCATGTGATCTGAATTTCTGTGGCAGCACTTTTTGCCAGTGAGTTGAAGCTTTCTGCTTAAGTTCTAAAGATTTAAACATTAGATTTCTACCTTTGAAAATGTTTTACAACTATCAAATATATTCCTCATTTATACAGCTGAACATTGCTACTCATAAGTAGATGATTCTTTTCGAGTAGAATCTCCAAGCGGCAGTTCCTGTCTGAGGCGTGACGAGGGCTGCACCGCAGGAGGTGGGGGAGGTTTTCCGAGGCCACTGGGCTGGTTCCAGGCACAGCGGTGACGGTGTCCGGCTGCTGTAGGTACCTGAGTGTCAGTCTGATCTTTTCTCGTTCCCTTCTTCCTCTGGCACTTTCCTCACGAATCCTTAACACTTTTCGTTACCAGTTTATTCCAACTCCAACTGTATGTGGACACTTCAGTGCAATCCATATTGGGACTTGTTCCTGACTCAGGCAAAACTGGTGTCAAAGCCTTTGTGGTTTACCTTGTAGCTGCTTGTTATGTCAGCCTTGGCTCTGGAGGTCATTCCTTATTCAGCTTCCTTTTCCATGAACCAAGGAGAAGGTTTCTGTTTCTACTTTTCTCAGTTTTTAGCCTCTCCATTCCACGATCTCATTTGACAAAAAAGCAAAGAAGTGCTGTAGAGCCCCAACATGACACTACTTGGATATTTATTTTGTACAGTTTTATATATTTCTGCTAAAGAAACGTAAATATTACTTCTTTCCTTATTTTATTTGATACTTATTTCTCATACTTTGTTCTTCAACTGTTGTGCATAAAGCTTTCAAAGTTATGTTTTTTAAATACAGGCTCAATAATAAGCACAATGATGTTTTTGCAAATAATTTTTCTATCCCAGAGAAGACTCATCTTTACTGTTTAGGTCTTGCTCTTTCCTTCTGACCATCCTCTGTGTCTCTCTCACCAAAGGAGCTTGCCATCCCCCCAAGAGCAGATAATTTTGGCGCCATCCCTGGCTCGGGTTGACATGGAGATGACCCAGCTCACCCAGGAGAACGCAGACTTCGCCACTCGGGATCGCTACCACCACTCCTCCCTAGTGAGTCGGGAACAGCTGATGCCTCAGTACTAAGCAGCCCAGGGACCCGCCTCTCTTGGACCTGACTAGTGCACAGCAGACTCAAGCCCCAGAGCCTCTGTGGAACTGGTTCTCCTCAGTAAGAAACGCAAAGACCTGTCCTCCCACTGCCATTTGGGATGGAAATCTGCATTCTGGTCTGGGGCACCACATCCAAATGGGCCAACCCCTGGAGCAGCAGTGGCTCTGAAACGCGCACATGGTCGGAAGAGCTCCATGTGGACACCAAGACTTCCAGGTGTGGAGAACCAGACCAGACTACTTGTTCCAAGGGCAACAATAAATGGTTATTTAAATTTTTATTTTATTATTTACTTTAAAAATTTTTTTAAATTATATTTTATTGATTATGCTATTACAGTTTTCCCAATTTCCCCCCTTTACCCCACCTCCACCCTGCATCCCCCAACCCTTCAGCATCCCCCACCCTTAGTTCATGTCCATGGGTTGCACATTTAAGTTCTTTGATTTCTGTGTTTCCTATACCATTTTTTACCTCTCCCTGTCTATTTATTGCCTACTAGTTATGCTTCTTCTTCCCTGTACCTTTTCTCCTCATTCCTCCTTTCCCCCTCCCCACTGAAATCCCTCCATGTGATGTCCATTTCTCTGATTCTGTTCCTGTTCTAGTTGTTTGCTTAGTTTTTGTTTTTGTTGTTTTTCTTTCTTTTATTTTTTTAGGTTCATTTGTTGATAGTTTTGAGTTTGTTGTTATTTTACTGTTCATATTTTTTACCTTTTTTTCTTAGATAAGTCCCTTTAACATTTCATATAATAATAACTTGGTGATGATGAACTCCTTTAACTTGACCTTATCTGATAAGCACTTTATCTTCCCTTCTAGTCTAAATTATAGCTTTGTTGGATAGAATCTTGGTTGTAGATTCTTGCTTTTCATCACTTTGAATATTTCTTTCCAGCCCCTTCTTGCTTGTAAGGTTTCTTTTGAAAAATCAGGTGACAGTCTGATGGGAACTCCTTTGTAGGTAACTCCTTTCTCTTGCTGTTTTTAAGATTCTTTCTTTATATTTAATCTTAGGTAACATAATGATGATGTTCCTTGGTGTGTTCCTCTTTGGGTCCAACTTCTTTGGAACTCTCTGAGCTTCCTGGACTTCCTGGAAGTCTATTTCCTTTGACAGATTGGGGAAGTTCTCCTTCATTATTTGTTTAATTAAGTTTTCAATTTCTTGCTGTTGTTCTTCTCTTTCTGGCACCCTTATAATTTGGATATTGGAATGTTTCAGGTTGTCCCAGAAGTTTGTAAGACTCTCTTCACTTTTTTGAATTCTTGCTTCTTCATTCTGTTCCGGTTGGATGTTTATTTCTTCCTTTTGTTCCAAATCATTGATTTAAGTCCTGGTTTCCTTCCTGTTACTGTTCGTTTCCTAAATATTTTGCTTTATTTCATTTTGGGTATCTTTCATTTGTTCTTTAATTTTTTGACCAAGCTCAATCAGTTTTGTGAGCATTTTGATTACCAGGGCTTTAAATTCTTCATCAAATAGGCTGGCTATCTCCTCATTGCTTAACTTTCTTTCTGAGGTTTTGCTCTATTCTTTCA